CGGGTGACAAAACCATGCCTTATGCCTGCCAAAGCAAGTCTGCAGGTCTCCTGTGTCAACTATTTCACAACATGTGCTGCTTTTACAAACCAAAAGTAGAAAACACTGGACCTGGGGAATTTCAGGTTCTACTCTGACATTTCTATGAACAACACTGATCTTTTTATTCTATGTAGCAACTGTCCTGGCCCGCGGGACCTTCTGTTACTCGTGGGGTCAAGGGGGACCATGCCTGAAAGAGATGGGCGAGAGAAAGGAACGAGACCAAGCAAAGAGTTGTCAAGGTCTACTTTACTTGGATTCTTAGTAGGTTTTATAAGCATACAGAAACAAGGAAGTAGAAACAGAAAAATGGAGTGGGGTGACGATGAGTCTTGGGTTTGGGTTAATCAGCTCCAATCAGCGTCTTATCGGTATCCTGTTTGTGACTGGTTACTCATCTCCAACCTGGCAGGTGGTCGGGAACAATTGCAGTTAGCACACCCTGGAGCATTTCGCGGTCAGCACTTCATGGAGCGCGTTCTTTTCGGAGCTATAGCTGGAGGGTGGGGTGCTGTTTTTGTCCTAGGAATTTTCCAGGGCGAAGCCCGTGCGTAGGACGAGCCATAGGGGAGTTGAGGGTCTTTGGGGGTCCTTGCCTCCAACAAGCAACAAGTTATATAAGATTCTTGCCTAAATGGTCAGGGTAATGTGTGCTCAAATACCCGGCTCCTTTTGTCACTAGATACTCCAACATATATGCTAGCCAATTACAAACTTAGGTTCCTTCATTAATAAAGGTCATACCACATAAACATATCAGATGAGCCTCCTAAGATACATGAGGCTCAACCATTTTATTGGACTGACATATTCCCAGAGTTGCGAGATTGAGTTTAATGGTATATGAAAAAATGTGCTTAGATTTTAGCTTTTCTGCTTATTTACTCTCATTTTAATATACATTATTCTCTCCCTTTGAAGATCTCTCACCACTCGGCTACCAAAATGATTCTTTTCTACATAGCCACCAATTCAGCTTTTATGAGAAACTTATAATGAAGTTTCAGATAGGGGAAATGAAGGTGTTTACCTTCATGCCACCCCAAAACATGCCACTTTGGCATATTGACTGTTTTGAGCTGAAAATGATTAAGCAACAGTAGCTGCAGGAAGAGCTCTCTGACTTCCTCTTTCTTCCTGAAGCAAGATATAAAATTTTCCATTTGAAAGATGCTCTCCCTGTATTAGGAAAAGAATATTCTTATCACTGGAAACTAGGAGTCAATTCTGAAATGAAACAGTATAAACGAACCTACTAAAATAATCCTTATCTTCCATTAGTTCTTCCCGTATATTTTTTAGTGACTTTCCCACAAATTACTGCCCCCAAAAGCTTAAAACCTCTTTTCTTTTGTCTTGTCACTTTTCCACAATTTATTGTTCTATGTTAAAAAAAAAAAAAGGATAAAGCTCCTGATCCTAATAGCTTCTTTGGGTCTTCATTTTTCCTGTGAAGGTCTCCATGTGCCCATGAAGATATTAAATAAAATTTATATTCTTTTCTTCTGTCAATCCTTTTTTTTCCTTTTATAGAGGGCTTAAACAATAGACATTTATTTTTTCACAGTTTGGAGGCTCAAAGTCTAAAATCAAGGTGCTATTAGGGTTAATTTCTTCTGAGGTTTTGCTCCTTGGCTTACAGGTGGCTGCTTTCTTGCTGTGTCCTCACGTTGTTGTTCTTTTTTGTACACATGCACATTGGTGTCTTGTTAATCTGTCTTTTGACAGTTCAATTTATAGGATCCAGCTACAGAGCATAAGAGAGTATAAGAAAGTTATTTTTTATTCCTTACACTTTGTACATAGGAAGTACCCAATAAATATATAAAATAAGCTGTTCCTGTTAGTATTATTAATAATATTGTCCTTGCCCCCACTTACTTCTGCATGAAAACCAGTGAAAAGCATTAAAAAAAGAAGAACAAGCCCAGGACCATTTAATGATTCATAGACCTGCTAGCATTCAAGTTTTCCTTAGAAATTAAGAAAGAAAAGTAATTTCTCTGGAGGAAATGAAATACTCTGCAAGCTGGGCATAGTGGTATGTGCCTGTGGTCCTAGCTACTCAGGAGGCTGATGTGAGAGAAGTCCTTGAGCCCAGGAGTTCAGGTCTAGCCTGGGCAATATGGTGAGACCCCATGTCTAAAAAAACTGAAAATTTAAAAGTGAAATACTCGGCAAATCAAACTGCAGTGGAGCTAGTAATAGTTCTGATGTTGGTGCTGTGCCACAGTCATGAGTATCACCATAAAGTGAGCTTCTGAGAAGGAACCGAACCAAGGAAGTCTTCGTGGATCATGACTCTATAAACCTGTCAAACTAACTCAAGCCTTAGAGTACATTTCATTAATTTGACTGCCTCTTTGTATCCTTGTGATGGAGTTTACTAAGGAAAAACATAAAACAAAAAACTTTTAAGCTTAAAGTTCAAGCTTCCTTTCTTCAGCCCAATTGAAATATGTTTCTGACTTGTAAAATGTTGACTTACCTGAAAAATTTTCAGTCTTTTAAATTGGATTAGTGGAATAATTAGGTGACATTTAAAACAAATAATGGGACAACACATTGTTAATATAGACTCGAGATATTTTTTAGTGTTTGGTGGTTATACATCAGTCTGGCCAGAGGATGGTTGTGCTTCTATTTCACAAAAGAGAAGGAAGAACAGTTATCAAACATCAAAGAAGCAAGAGTTAACAAGATTTTTTCTCAGTATTAAAGTCAAACCAACTTACTTTGGCTATTAGCATGTTACATCCATGTTACATACATATTAGTTTGTTACATCCACAAGATGTAAGCAATCATTAATAACCGTTATTGCTGTTACTGCTGTTATTAAAATAAACAATACATCTAGCATATATAATAAATGTAAGACAAATGCTTCAAAAAAATGAACTACAACTTCAACCTTTTAATGAAATTATAAAGATGCATTAATATTCCTATCTCTCTGCCCTTCTCCACTACTTTATAAAAACCTAAGCACATTTACCCTTATGGATGAGATTAGGCAGTTGTGTTTGTCTCCTCACCAAAAAGAGAGAAATCAAGACTGTCCTATGATTCTCACCTGAGACATGAGAAACAGGAACTCAGTGCTAGAGCAATAGGAAAGTAAGAATCTGGTTAGTTGATGACAGGATGGGAGTGTCCCTGAGACTCACTAGCTAACAAAAGGCACAGGAAAGGAAGGAACTCTTGAGAGAATCTGGGAAATTAGCTATGAAAATATTCAGGAATATTTATTAGAATTAGGGGCTGTTGTGCTTCAGAATCCTAGAAGAGCTTGGACCAAGTATGAGGTTGGGGGATGGGGATAAGGTCTTTATAAAGCCTACTCTTTTTGCTTAAAATCAAAACAAACCAAACCGAACCTAAAAACCCAGAACTGACAGCAAGATAACTTCAAAGGGTTAAAAAGAAACTCCCAAATGCACATGCTTAGTTGTAAATATAACCACAGAGCAGTGAGTCTATCAAGGTTGCATCTATTAATTAGTATCTTAGCTAATGTTTATGGTTCATAAAAAATATTGTTACTCAGTTATGTATGGCTTGTTATTTGCTTTTAATTCTTTCCATGCAACAGCTACAGTTTCAAAATTCCAAGCCATCAGTAAAATTTATTGAAGGCTTAAACTTTTTTAACCAAAAAAGTTTTTTGTCTGATATTTGTTATAATTTTAATGTTAAAATAAACACAGCAAGTATTTAATATTTCATTGGGACTATATTAACTAAAAAGCAATTTCTAGCATATCGCTAAAATCTGACAATCAATAACTGATTATGAAGTCAGCTAAGGATTTTCAGTAAATAATCTATTAGGATATTTAAACATTACAGCAGCACTGTAGGGTAAGAGTTATCAATCTTATTTCCAAATGAGGAAATAAGCATTAGATAAAATTGCATTAGCTACCAATTAGAATAGCATTAGATAAAATTGCATTAGATAGCAACTAGAAAGCATTAGATAATTTGCCCACCATCCCAAAGCTAGAAACCCCAGTTTTAGCTAATTCTAAGAGTCTCTTTCATCAAAGAGATAAAAATAAGAAACAAATCCAGGACATGTCTAGAGAATGAAAATGAATATTTTCATCGCCTGGTACAGAATGTAGATTATGGAAGTCTTTCCATTCATATAATTAACCATCATACTTTGCTGTTATAAACAACCTGACTTAGGATAAAAAAAGGAATTAAGGCCCAAAGTCCAAATATCATAAAAGGTATGCATTTAGCTATACCCCAGTACACTACTCTTTCCTTGAAACCATCTGCCTGTTTTTGGTTTAGATGACTTTAACAAAATGATTGCCTCATTTCTTAATTTTTTTCTAACTCAACAACTGTTTTTTGTTTATTTTCTCCAAATAATTAGAGGTGTTAGCCTGGCAATTAATTATTTTTCATATTTCAATTTACTTTACTCAACTTTCATCAGCAAAAATGAAATGCTGTATTCATATTTAATAACTTTCCAAATCATGAGACCTAAGAACTTATGAAGTCCTTTAAACTAAGAAACAAATATTTTACCTAAATTAAAGTAAGTATGAATCATTTATGGGGGCCTTATACTCCTAGTGATACATAGGACCTTCTAACTGCCAACAATGATTAACTAAAAGTCAGATGTGTTATGTGACTTTCTCAGAAAAATACAATGACGAAGGTATGAAGGCTGGGTCCGTTAGCACCGGCCTTCAAATTTTTGTGCTATAAAGCACAGAGAGGAACCAGGACAAAGGGCACTCGCTTGAGTCTAGCATCAGCCCTAAATCTAAGAGAGCTGAACAGTCACTAACATTTTTACTTTCCTTTCTTTCCTACTCTCTCTTTTTTCTCTCGCTCTTACACACTCTGCTTATATTGACTAATCTAACCCCATGAGTAGGCACAAGTATTGTCCCCATTTTCCGGATGCCACTCAACTGTTTTTTTACCTCAGGCCAAGCAAATTTCAGTCTCATCGCCTGGATTCAGGTTTCAGAACCATATCTCATCCGTTGGCAAAGCCCTGCAGGGGCTCAGCTCAGCAGTTCAGGTGAGGAAATCAAACCAGGTGGAGTGAGGACAGGTGGGTTCTTCAGCTCCAGCCATCTCTTCCACCTAAATGCTGGCTTCTGGGATGTTTCTGGCTCTCTGGAAGGTTTTAGAATAAAGGTTTAGCTTTTAAGGGAGAGCAAACTCTAGGAAGTGCCAAAAGAGGTGTGGCTGGAACCAGGGACCCAATCCGGAGGTTTGGCTAAAAGCCCACCGTGCCTAGGAGTCCCCAGTCTCTCATAGCCGCTGTCTACACTCAAGTGTGGCTGGTGCAGCAAATGAGCCAGACCCAGGGTGGCCGAAAGGACAGATGGTTTCCCGCCTCATGCTGTCCCGTTCCACAGTCCTAACAGTGGCAAAGTCGGGGACCCTGCATTACTTCTGTCACAGGTCGCCTCAGCGTCCCGGGTCCTCACTGGCCTCTGCCCACCAGAACAATGGCGTGGGTTTCCCACAATCCCTGGCGCGCCTGCGCTCTGGGGCTCGCGGGTCTCCAGGCGGCTGCGACAAACCTGCTCCTCACGGGCCTGCTGCTCTGATGCCTGTGGTTTTCTTCTGCGGCCTGGTGTTCGCGTCTCTGCTTCAGGTGTTCTCATGTACCCTCCAAGTCCTTTGCTGTGATTTCCATTCCGGTTTCTTCTCTGTACTCCATCCAAGAATCCCCCTGGCTATCATCTCTACACCCCAAGTAAGGCTCCCCACACTGCAGCCAAGGCCTGGCATCCACTCGGTAGCAATTAATTAAATTCTACTTCATGATCCTGATCCTTCCTGGCCCACAAACTGAGTTCAAATGTCCTGCTGTCTTGGTCCAGTTCCTTCTCTTACTTACTTCTATTTAGATTTCTCTGCTATAGTAGTTTCTATTACATATCTATAGTTATATAAGGGCGTAAATGTATGTGTATTATATGTGCTATTAATATAATAGTAATAATGTTAGTGCATTTAGCCTGGACCTCCACAGTGTTTTGACTGATTGCCTAAGTGAGAACTTCAAACACTACTGTAGGATACTGAGATGTTTTAGAGGGCATTTCAAACTATACCATAGGTGTCAATTATTTAATTTATTGACTCAACAATTTGACAAATGTTGGTAGACCGTTAATTACATGTCAAACACTGTTCTAGGCATGGAGGATATTGTAATAAACTACACAAAACAGGCTCTGTTCTCATGGAGCTTGCATTCTAATGGAAGGATAGAAGACAATAAATAAGTAATAAATAATTTCAGAAGTGATAGCTGATATTATAGAATTTAAAAAGAAAAATGGGAAAGAAAGCAACCAGGGTTGAAAGGGTTGGTCGTGTCCATTTTAAAGTGCTGTAAATAATGGTAATACTTAAGGAGATAATATCCAGTTAGCACTTCCTTCAAAAATTGAGAAAACTCATTTCCCTACAGTATTCCCTACTCATTTCTGGTATGGTAATATATTGTAAAATATTTGGCAATATGAGAAACATAAAAATGGTATCTCAGGCCGGGCGCGGTGGCTCACGCCTGTAATCCTAGCTCTCTGGGAGGTCGAGGTGGGCGGATTGCTAGAGGTCAGGAGTTCAAAACCAGCCTGAGCAAAAGCAAGACCTGTCTCTACTATAAATAGAAACAAATGAATTGGCCAACTAATATATATAGAAAAAAATTAGCTGGGCATGGTGGTACATGCCTGTAGTCCCAGGTACTCTGGAGGCTGAGGCAGCATGATTGCTCAAGCCCAGGAGTTTGAGGTTGCTGTGAGCTAGGCTGACGCCATGGCACTCACTCTAGCCTGCGCAACAAAGCGAGACTCTGTCTCAAAAAAATTAAAAAATGGTATCTCATTATCTTTATAATTATGATTTCTTTTATTTTGAGAGAAATTGAGCCATTCATATTTTCTTTGCTGTGATTTCCTGTTCATGTCCTTTTCTCATGTTAGGCTTTGGCCATTTTGAATTTATTTGCTTAAGAAGTCTTTACATACTAGGAGGAATTAGCACCAATTAATTTGTTTCTATTTATAGTAGAGACGGGGTCTCGCTCTTGCTCAGACTGGTTTCAAACTCCTGAACTTGAGCAATTTGCCCGCCTCGGCCTCCCAGAGTGCTAGGATTATAGGCGTGAGCCTCCGCCCCTGGCCTTCCTTTTTGGTTTTTTAATGTAGTTTGTTACTGAATATTTGGAGAGTAATTGGGACTTAGGTTAGTTTCTCCAGGAGTAAACCCTAACATGAGGTTTCATATGATTTATTAAGAAAGTTTTCTGAGGAAAAACTCTTAAGAAACTGGGAGGATGGACATAGTGAATCATACCTGTAATCCTAGCATTCTGGGAGGATTGCTTGAGACCAGGATTTTGAGACCAGCCTGAGCCATACAGTAAGATGCTGTGTCTACAAAATATAGGAAAATTAGCTGGGTATAGTGATGCACACCTGTAGTCCCACCTACTTGGGAAGTCTGAGACAGGAGGATCACTTGATTCCATGAGTTTGAGATTCCTGTGAACTATTATGACACCACTACACTCTAGCCTGGGCAACAGATGGAATAAAGGGAAGGAAATAAAGTCAAGAAAGGGTGTAATTTTGTGTAAAGGCCTTGGGTGGGCAGCTTTAGTCTGATCATACTGGTGATCCTATTAGGGGTATGGGAAGCAAAGCAATATTGAAGGGAAAAGGGGAAGCACACTGAATCTGCAGAGAGGGATTGTGGGGGCGATGGGAAATTTTCCCTTTGCTTGAAAGGTTCACTGAAAGATCAACTTACAGTGAGGCAGATTAATAAAAGAAAGAGATTATTTACCATGTGCGCAAGGAAAATCACAGAGTGATTACCTAATTTCCAAATAGGGTCCAGGAGTTTATATACCCTCATTTTAGAGGTGTGGGAGAGATGAGGAATATAGGTAATTCTGTTGAGTGGCAATAAGTGGTTACCAGGGAGGATGAATGGGCACTTGTGGCTCCAGATTAGCAGCATCTTGTGATTCTCAGATGAAATGAATTCACAGTCTCTCTGGAGGACACCAAAAGCATAAGCAAAAAAAAAAAAAAAATAGAGAAGTAAGAAAATTGATTAACTTGTCATCAGTATTTAAAATTTTAGATACAGCTGAAGAGATAATTAGTGAGGTGGAAGATAAATCTTAAAAATTTGCCCTGAATGCACCATAGAAAGGCAAGGAGAAATGAGAGATTAAAAGAGAATTAAGAGGAGACAATATTTGAAGAGATTGTGGCCAAGAAATTTTCAGAATTTATGAAAGTCATCTATCTGCCTGTGAGGATGCTCTATATGCCAAGCAGGAAAATAAGAAAAAAAATGCCCACTTAGACACTGAAGCAAAACTATAGACCTCCAAAAACCAGATATAACACATTAAAATTGGATAGAAAGAAAAAGAAAACATTACTTACCAAGAATGGTAATCAGAAAACATGTTTTCAACAAAACAGAAAACTCTGATGAAGGATTTATAAAATGCTAAAGGAAAATAACTGTCATTAGAAATATAAAGTTTACTATCTACTTTGCTTTGACAATGGAATTGTAATCTACTTTTGGGTAGCTATAAATTTTGTTTTTTAATGAGACAGGGAATATCAGAATATACCACTTAGCTTAGTAATGAACAGTATTTATATAGTTCTAATTTTTTTATTTACCTTATTATGGTAATAATACTTAAGAGAACTCTACCTTCTTAACAGATTTTTTTTTTTTGAGACAGAGTCTCGCTTTGTTGCCCTGGCTAGAGTGAGTGCCGTGGCATCAGCCTAGCTCACAGCAACCTCAAACTCCTGGGCTCAAGCAATCCTGCTGCCTCAGCCTCCAGAGTACCTGGGACTACAGTCATGTACCACCATGCCCAGCTAATTTTTTCTTTATATATTAGTTGGCCAATTAATTTCTTTCTATTTATAGTAGAGACGAGGTCTTGCTCTTGCTCAGGCTGGTTTTGAACTCCTGACCTCAAGCAATCTACCCACCTTAGCCTCCCAGAGTGCTAGGATTACAGGCATGAGCCACCATGCCCAGCCTTCTTAACAGATTTTTAAGTGTACAGTATATTATTGTTGTCTACAGGCACAATGTTGAGCAGCAGATCTCTAGAGCTTATTTATCTTGCTTAAATGAAACCTTATGCCTGTTGATTAGCATCTCATTTCCCCCTTCCTCCAGCTCTTGGCAATCACCATTCCACTCTGATTCTATGAATTTTACTATTTTTAGATAACTAATATAAGTGGAATCATGTAGTATTTGTCTTTCTGTGACTGGCTTATTGCACTTAGCATAATGTCCTCAAGGTTTGTTCATGTTGTTGCATATTGTACAATTTCCTTTTTTTTAAGGTTTAATAGTATTCCAATATATGTATATACCACATTTTATTTATCTGTTCATCTGTCCATGTACCTTTATATTATTTCTAAATTATTGTCTATTGTAACTACTGCTTCAATGAACATGGGAAGGCTAATATCGCTTTGAGATCCTGATTCAATTCTTTTGGGTAAATATTCAGAAGTGGGATGGCTAAATAATATGGTAGTTCTATTTTTAATTTGGGGGGGAACTTTCATATTTTTTTCTGTAGTGGCTGCACTATTTTTCATTCCACCAACAGTAAGCAAGGGTTCCAATTTCTCCACGTCTTTGCCAAGACTTGTTTTTTGTGGGTAGCAATAAATTTGATAGTGGAAAATTACTTTTCTCAGTGGATTACTCACCATCTCCATGGAAACAGAACAAATAGGATGGGTGTGTGTGTGTGTCTGTGTGTGTGTCAGGGGGAGAGAGAGATTATAACAAATTGGTTAACAGTTATGCAGGCTGAGAAATCCCAAGATCTGCAGTCGGAAAGCTGGAGATCCAGGAGACCCAATGGGATCATTCCAGTTGGAGTCTGCAGGTCTGAGCAACAAGTGGGCTGATAGTATAATTTCAGTATGAATCTGAATCTGCAGACAGGAGAAAACCAATGTCCCAGCTCAAAGACAGAGCTGAATTCTGCCTTTCTCTGCCTTTTTGTTCTGTTCAGGCCTATAGCAGATTGGATGAAGCCCACCACAGTGGGGAGGACAATCTGCTTTACTCAGTCCACTGATAACAAATGTTAATTTCATCCCAAAACACCCTCACAGACACACTCAGAATAATATGGTACCATATATCTGGGCACTGTATGGCCCAGTCAAGTTGACATATAAAATTAACCATCATACTAGACATCGTAGTGCTACAGAATATAATAAGTAGTTCCAATGATAACCTAAGAACTTTTACTTTTCAAACACAAAGAACAAAGTACTCTTTTTTTAAGTTTGAATGAAATGATACTGAAGTAAAACAATTAATGGCTCCTGGGCTTTTAAATGGAACCAAGTGTCCAGTTCACATATGAATTTTTAGTAATGTTCAAATTTTTCCATGTTCTTAAGATCAGTGTTAAAAACG